GCGCAGACGGAGGGAGGGAAGGAGGAAGCAAGAGAGAAAGTAGGAAGGATAGGATGGTGAGAGAGAGGAGGGCCTGAGAAAAGAGCCCAAGGGGCCGCATCTGGATCCTGGGCTGAGTTTACCCATACATGATCTAGAGCAAACTTGCCCAACATGACAAACTAAGTACTGATGCAGTTTCAGGGGGTTAACCTGGCATGGTGTGAGTTGTAGTTCACCCAAAACCTTATGCATTTTGTAAAATAAAAAAATGACTTTTTCAAATAACCCGGGGCAATGCTGGGTCCCCAAGCTAGTACCTTTATAAAAAAACTCCCACATGTCAGGCTTCCAGCCTTCTTCCTTCTCCATTCCTCTTGAACAGTGGTTCTCCACTTTCCTAATGCTGCAACACTTTAATACAGTGCCTCATGTTGTGGTGACCTCCAACCATAAAATTATTTTTGTTGCTACTTAAAAACTGTAATTTTGCTACTGTCGTGAATTGTAATGTTAATATCTGATATGCAGGATGTATTTTTATTCGCTGGATAAAATTTGGCACAAATATCCGATACACCCAAATTTGAGCACTTGTAGGGTTGGAAGGAATTGATTTTGTCATTTGGGAGTTGTAGTTGCTGGGATTTGTAGTTAACCTACAAACAAAGCGCATTCTGAACTCCACCAACGATGGAATTGAAGCAAACTTGGCACACAGAACTCCTATGAACAACAAAAAATACTGGAAGGGTTTGGTGGGCATTGACCTTGAGTTTTGGAGTTGTAGTTCACCTACATCCAGAGAGTACTGAGGACTCAAACAATGATGCATTTGGACCAAACTTGGGACAAATACTCAATATGCCCAAATGTGAACACTGGTGGAGTCTGGGGAAAATCGACCTTGATATTTGGGAGTTGTAGTTGCTGGGATGCAGGCATGTAGCCGGGGGGGGGGGGGGGGGGTGGGGCGTGGCTTGAGTGGTTCCCCCCCCCCCGAAATTCTCATGGTGGTTCGCGAAAAGGCCTTACTGGTGCATTATTTAAACTGTTATGTTTATTCATATCATGATCTGATCACCATACTCAATATATCCCATATGGATGGGGGTATTGGGGTAATGATACAAAAGGTTTGCTAGGCTAGACCCTCTTTCACTCAGACTCAGCCCCCTCCCCCGAAACTCAGCCCCCCGAAACCCCCCCTGAAAAAAATTCAGCCCCCCCCCCCCGAAACGAAATCACGACCCACTCAGGGGTCTCAACCCCCAGGTTGTGAAACACTGCTCTGAGGGAAAGAGTGCTTATATTAGGAGCCTCTGGAAGGGAGGACTGAGGGGTTTTGAAAAGCTCGGTTAGTTCTCCTGTGAGTGAACATAGTTCTGTGGAAGACAAGTTAAGGAACCATTTTCTTTTAAGGAAATATCTTGGTAATCTTCGGAAACCATTGGGCGTCTGACCCTCTCTTAATACCTGAGCAACCTTCTTGTTCTAGTTCAAATAAACTTCACAAATCTGTTTATACATTACCACAAGTATTCAGTGTGTCATTCTGTGCATCAGCATAAGAAGGGGGCCTGGCTGGATAACAGCCATCATGCTTTAAGTTGGAGTTTCCCTCCATTTTTTGAGTGACTCTGGTGTTCTACCAGTGGGACAGGGAAGAGTGAATGTTGTGGTCGTAAATTTAGAGTGGTGGCAGCGAGGTTATATCATGATGTAACCGACGGTCAGCAGTTGGGATTGACCATTTTATTATGCATTTTGTAAAATTAAATAACTTGACTTTTTCAAATGAGCCGGGCAATGCTTGGTACCCAAGTTAGTACCTTTATTTTTAAAAACCACCCACATGTCAGGCTGCCAGCCTTCTCCCTTCTCCATTCCTCTTGAAGGAGGAGGCAGAAGGAAAGTTGGGTGCTGTATTGTCGAAGGCTGTCATGGCAAGAATCACTGGGTTGTTGCAGGTTTTTCAGGCTGTATGGCCATGTCCCAGAAGCATTCTCTCCTGAGAATGCTTGCATCTATGGCAGGCATCCTTAGAGGTTGTGAGGTCTGTTGGAAACTAGGAAAATTGGGTTTACATATCTGTGGAAGGTCCAGGGTGGGAGGAAGAACTCTTGTCTGTTGGAGGTAAGTGTGAATGTTTCAATTGGCCACTTTGATTAGCATTTGATGGCCTGACAGTTTTTAGGCGTTACTACCTGGGAAAATCCTTTGTTGAGAGGTGATTAGGTGTTCCTGATTGTGTCTTGTCTGGAGTTCCCTTGTGTTTGAGTTTGTTCTTTATTTACTGTTATAAATGAAGAAACCATGAAAATCAACAAAATCTGGCTACCAGTATTAAAAATACTCTAAAATTATAACAGGTAATAACAAGCCAATCCCTCTCTAATGCCAGAGATACAGCTTAATGGTGTAACATTAGAAAATGTTGACCATTTCCACTACCTTGGCAGCCACCTCTCCACCAAAGTCAACATTGACACCAAAATACAACACCACCTGAGCTCTGCGAGTGCAGCATTTTTCCAAATGAAGCAGAGAGTGTTTGAGGAGTGGGACATCCGTAGGGATACCAAGGTGCTTGTTTATAAAGCTATTGTCCTCCCAACCCTGCTATATGCCTGCGAAACATGAACTGTCTACAGATGTCACATGCAACTCCTGGGACTATTCCATCAGCGCTGCCTCTGGAAAATCCTGCAAATCTCTTGGAAAGACAAGCGGACAAAATTCAGTGTGCTGGAAGAAGCAAAGACCACCAGCATTGAAGCAATGGTCCTCCACCATCTAATCCGCTGGACCGGCCACGTTGTCCGGATGCCCGACCACCGTCTCCCAAAGCAGTTGCTCTACTCTGAACTCAAGAATGGAAAACGGAATGTTGGTGGAAAGGAAAAGAGATTTAAAGATGGGCTCAAAGCCAACCTTAAAAACTCTGGCATAGACACTGAGAACTGGGAAGCCCTGGCCTGTGAGTGCTCCAGCTGGAGGTCAGCTATGACCAGCAGTGCTGCAGAATTTGAAGAGGCACAAATGGAGGGCGAAAGAGAGAAACGTGCCAAGAGGAAGGCGTGTCAAACCAACCCCAACTTGGACTGCCTTCCACCTGGAAACCAATGCTCTCACTGAGGGGGATGATGCAGATCAAGAACAGGGCTCCATAGTCACCTATGGACCATCCTACTCGGACAACGAGGGATCGCCTAAGTAAGTAAAAATATGGGTTGTTGTAGGTTTTTTTGGGCTATATGGCCATGGTCTAGAGGCATTCTCTCCTGACGTTTCGCCTGCATCTATGGCAAGCATCCTCAGAGGTAGTGAGGTCTGTTGGAACTAGGAAAAAGGGTTTATATATCTGTGGAATGACCAGGGTGGGACAAAGGACTCTTGTCCGCTGGAGCTAGGTGTGAATGTTTCAACTGACCACCTTGATTAGCATATAATGGCCTGACAGTGCCTGGAGCAAACTTTTGTTGAGAGGTGATTAGATGTCCTTGTTTGTTTCCTCTCTGTTGTTGTGCTGTTGTAATTTTAGAGTTTTTTTTTAATACTGGTAGACAGATTTTGTTCATTTTCATGATTTCCTCCTTTCTGTTGAAATATAAACCCAATTTTCCTAGTTTCCAACAGACCTCACAACCTCTGAGAACATCTTTATTAATGACTTAGATGAAGGGCTAGAAGGCATGATCATCAAGTTTGCAGACGACACCAAATTGGGAGGGATAGCCAATACTCCAGAGGACAGGAGCAGGATTCAAAACCACCTTGACAGATTAGAGAGATGGGCCAAAACTAACAAAATGAAGTTCAACAGGGACAAATGCAAGATACTCCACTTTGGCAGGAAAAACGAAATGCAAAGATACAGAATGGGGGACACCTGGCTCGAGAGCAGTACGTGTAAAAAAGATCTTGGAGTCCTCGTGGACAACAAGTTAAACATGAGCCAACAATGTGATGTGGCGGCAAAAAAAGCCAATGGGATTTTGGCCTGCATCAATAGGAGCATAGTGTCTAGATCTAGGGAAGTAATGCTACCCCTCTATTCCGCTTTGGTTAGACCACACCTGGAATATTGTGTCCAATTCTGGGCACCACAATTCAAGAGAGATATTGACAAGCTGGAATGTGTCCAGAGGAGAGCGACTAAAATAATAAAAGGTCTGGAGAACAAGCCCTATGAGGAGCGGCTTAAGGAGCTGGGCATGTTTAGCCTGAAGAAGAGAAGGCTGAGAGGGGATATGATAGCCATGTATAAATATGTGAGAGGAAGCCACAGGGAGGAGGGAGCAAGCTTGTTTCCTGCTTCCCTGGAGACTAGGACGCAAAACAATGGCTTCAAACTACAAGAGAGGAGATTCCATCTGAACATGAGGAAGAACTTCCTGACTGTGAGAGCCGTTCAGCAGTGGAACTCTCTGCCCCGGATTGTGGTGGAGGCTCCTTCTTTGGAAGCTTTTAAACAGAGGCTGGATGGCCATCTGTCAGGGTGATTTGAATGCAATATTCCTGCTTCTTGGCAGGGGTTGGACTGGATGGCCCATGAGGTCTCTTCCAACTCTTTGATTCTATGATTCTATGAATGCCTGCCACAGATGCAGGCGAAACGTCAGGAGAGAATGCTTCTAGAACATGGCCATAGAGCTCGAAAAAGCTACAACAACCCAAAGTTGGGCGCTTCTTGACCTGAGAGCTCACTTTGGTGCTTCTCACTCCAGACTCAAAGGAGGGAGGGGGGAGGAGAGAGAAGCCCCGCCCCTTGTGCTCTGATTTGAGGAAACCCTCAAGGTGGACGCCCCTGAACCCCCCCTCCTCCCCCTCCGCCCGGGTCTGCGCCGCTTTTCCGATGGAGAATCCTCTCCCCGAAAGTCTGCGCCTGCCTTTCCTTCCCAGAATCTTGGATGGCTGGAGGCTTGCTTTAGTTCTCCCTTCCCTTGAAGGCAGGGAGAGGGGATCCAAGCCAAAGAGGGCAAGCAGCTGGGCCGAGAGAGGCGGTGGGGAAACCCCCCCTCCCTCCCTCCTCCTTCCCTTTGGATTCCCCGAAGAGGGAGAGGGATGGAGAGATGCATGGATGAATAAGTAAACAAGGTCGCCTTTTTTCCGCCTCTGGACTTGCTTCCAAAGGGGGCGAGAGGGGAGAGAGAGCCCCTCGAGACATCTCCCACGCTCTCTCCCTGTGTTGCGATTTTGAGGGAGGCGAAAAGGCCGTCCAACCGAAAAGAGAGGAAGAAAAGTTTGCGGAGAGTCTGCTTTCCCCTTTCCCCGCGGCTCTGGCCTCTTTCGGCTCCTTTGGGGAGAAGCAGGCTCTCTGAATGAGTCCCCGGCGGGGAGGAGGAGGCGGCGGCTTTCCGAAGGGCCCGCGGGCTCACCTCCTCCTCTCGCTCCTGCCATCCGAAGAAGGGTCGGAGCCTAAAGACTTGGAGGAGATGCTCCGGAGCGCAGGGTAACCGCTGCCGGCGGGTCGGGAAAGCAGCACCTTCTCGGGAGACTTTGCGGGGAGCCTTCCTTCGCCATGGCCCCTTGGCCCCGGGGAGGCTTGGCTTTGGCCTTGCTCTGGGCAGCGCTGCTGGGAAGAGGTGAGTCTCTTGGCGCCGACAACTTGCCTCGGGAAACAAACCAGGCAACGTGCCTTTGGGGGCTCCGGCGCTGTCCATCCAGCCAACAGAAGCCTGCCTCTTGGGTGCTTTAGGCCAGAGGGGCTTACCAGTGGGAGGCCCACAGGCTCGTGTCCTTAGGCTTGAAACAACAACAACAACAACAAAGGGAGACACAGCTGCAAGGGGCAGAGCATGGCTTGGCAAGTGGATAGATGATATCCTTGCAAGTAGAGATATAATATCCCTGCAGGTAGAGAGGTAGTATCCTTGCAAGTAGAGAGATAACATCCTTGCAGGTAGATAGATAATATCCTTGAAAGTAGAGAGATAATATCCATGCAGGTAGAGAGATAATATCCTTGCAAGTAGAGAGATAATATCCCTGCAGGTAGGGAGATAGTATCCTTGCAAGTAGAGAGATAATATCCCTGCAGGTAGAGAGATAGTATCCTTGCAAGTAGAGAGATAATATCCATGCAGGTAGAGAGATAATATCCTTGCAAGTAGAGAGATAATATCCCTGCAGGTAGAGAGATAATATCCTTGCAAGTAGAGAGATAATATCCATGCAGGTAGAGAGATAATATCCTTGCAAGTAGAGAGATAATATCCTTGAAGGTCGATAGATAATATCCCTGCAGGTAGATAGATAATATCCTTGCAGGTCGATAGATAATATCCTTGCAAGTAGAGAGATAATATCCATGCAGGTAGAAAGATAATATCCCTGCAGGTAGAGTGTTAATATCCTTGCAGGTAGAGCATATAATATCCTTGCAGGTAGAGAGATAATATCCTTGCAGGTGGATAGATCATATCCTTGCAGGTAGAGAGATAATATCCCTGCAGGTAGAGAGATGATATCCTTGCAAGTAGAGAGATAATATCCCTGCAGGTAGAGTGTTAATATCCTTGCAGGTCAATAGATAATATCCTTGCAAATAGAGAGACAATATCCATGTAGGTAGAAAGATAATATCCTTGCAGGTAGAAAGATAATATCCCTGCAGGTAGAGTGTTAATATCCTTGCAGGTAGAGCATATAATATCCTTGCAGGTAGATAGATCATATCCTTGCAGGTAGAGAGATAATATCCCTGCAGGTAGATAGATAACATCCTTGCACATTGATAGATAATATCCTTGCAGGTAGAGAAATAATATCCCTTCAGGTAGAGAGATAATATCCCAGCAAGTAGAGAGATAATATCTTTGCAGATAGAGAAATAATATCCTTACAGGTAGATCAATAATATCCTTGCAAGTAGATAGATAATATCCTTTGGCAACAATTGCATAGCACACTATGCAATAGGCATGGGCAAACTCCGACCCTCCCTCCAGGTGTTTTTGGACTTCAACTCCCACAATTCAAGATCTGGCTTCCTACTGCTGGAGGGAATCCTTACTGCCTGGGGGAATCCTTTGTTGGGAGGTGATTAGCTGGCCCTGATTGTTTCTTGTCTGGAATTCCCCTGTTTTTGAGTGTTATTCTATATTTACTGTTATGATTTTAGAGCTTTTTTAAAGTAATCAAACAAAGGATTCCCCATTTTTCTAGTTTCCAAGAGACCTCACAACCTCTGCACAACCTCTGAGGATGCCTGCCACAGATGCAGATGAAATGTCAGGAGATAATGCTTCTGGAACATGGCCAGACAGCCCAGAAAACTCATAACAACCCAATATTTATTACAGTCCATAGACCCATCAGTGAACAAACATCTCAACTCTAATTACATATAATGTTTTGTCGGTTTCTCTGTCATGTTATGTTTTGTCTTCCACTATCACCAACAAGTTGCTTACTTCAGCTTGTTTGAACCTGTACATATGACTAGCCCTACATTAGTCTACAAATCTGTACCTAATGTCTTTTCTTCAAATATATCTTCCTAAAATGATTTCTTCTAAGGATGTGTCCTACGACAACATTGTTAACTTGCCCATTTCTATTTAGCTCCCACATCATCATTGTCTAATTTTCTATAGTTGGTAGAATCATAGAATCATGGAGTTGGAAGAGACCTCATGGGCCATCCAGTCCAACCCCCTGCCAAGAAGCAGGAAAATCACATTCAAAGCACTCCCAACAGATGGCCATCCAGCCTCTGTTTAAAAGCCTCCAAAGAAGGAGACTCCACCACACTCCAGGGCAGAGTTCCACTGCTGAACAGCTCTCTCACACAGTTAGGAAGTTCTTCCTCATGTTCAGGTGGACTCTCCTTTCCTGTAGTTTGAAGCCATTGCTCTACACTCTAGTCTCCAGGGCAGCAGAAAACAAGCCTGCTCCCTCCTCCATATGACTTCCCCTCACATCTTAATGCATGGTCCTCATCATGTCTCCTCTCAGTCTTCTCTTCTGCAAACATATTTCTTCTAAGGATGTGTCCTATGACAACATTGTTAACTTGCCCATTTCTATTTAGCTCCCACATCATCATTGTCTAATTTTCTATAGTTGGTAGAATCATAGAATCATGGAGTTGGAAGAGACCTCGTGGACCATCCAGTCCAACCCCTTTCTGCCAAGAAGCAGGAAAATTGCATTCAAAACACCCCCAACAGAGGCCATTCAGCCTCTGTTTAAAAGCCTCCAAAGAAGGAGCCTCCACCACACTCCGGGGCAAAGAGTTCCACTGCTGAACAGCTCTCCTTAAAGTTTAGGAAGTTCTTCCTAATGTTCAGGTGGAATCTCCTTTCTTTCCTTTAGTTTGAAGTCATTGCTCCATTGTGTCCTAGTCTCCAGGACAGCATAAAACAAGCTTGAGCTTCCTCTCTCCTCCCTATGACTTCCCCTCACATCTTAATACATGGTCCTCATCATGTCTCCTCTCAATCTTCTCTTCTGCAAGCATGTTTCTTCTAAGGATGTGCCCTACAACAACCTTGTTAAGTTGCCCTTTTTTATTTAGCTCCCACATCATCACTGTCCAATCTTCTATAGTTGCTATTTCTGTCTTTCTCCACTGTTGAGCATACAGGATTCTTGCATCTGTTAACATCCGTGCGCCATTCCCGAGGACATGGGAACACCAACTTCTCACTAAACGTCCCGGGAAGATTTTCTAAACTGAAAGAGATGCTCTCTATGTCTTCTTTGACCCTAAGCATGCCACAGAGGGCCAGTGTAAACACAAAGAGGCAGGAAGGATGTGTGTTGTGACACTGCATTACAGACTCGTTCCTATCAAATTGTTGGCATTCGGGGTGAGAAGGATGACTGCCGAGTCAAATGCGTCTCCATGCTTCGAGCTAAACAACTACATTGTGTTTGTCAAGGGGGCATCCTTCTCGAATCCCTATGTATGTTATGGCTTTCCCTACCAATTGTTATTTTGCAGTTGTTCATTTTGCTGAATTCGGCTTGCTCGCTCTTTCAGAAACCATTCAGCAATATTTTCCCCAGTGCCCGTTTGCCTCTAGGGCAGACGCTGTAGGCTCTGCTTCGGAGGAAGGAACTGTCAAAACTACCTCTGATGATGCCTTGACTCAGAAAACCCTATGAAATCCATGAGGTTCACAATAAGCCAACAGGCAAATTGGAGACAAATACTCAAATTCCTTTGGGAGCTCCTTCCCATAGTACTACACTCCCAGGCTGTCAATTAACTGACAGCTAGTCGCTTCCAACTTTTTGAAACACTTTGCCGTACTATGTAGAGCTGCTTGCCTTCCCCTTCCTACCTTATTCTGCATCCTTTTACGGGAAGGGAACACCTCCCTGGTGCAGCAGACTTTGTGCCTGAGGCAAAACCGAGGAGAGAATTATTATAGTTGCTGTTGCTGTTGTTGTTGTTGTTAACTTTATTTCTGTCCCACCTTTCTTCCCATAGGGACTTAAGGCAGTTACCAATCATATTACCTACTGAATAAAAATTTAAAATGAGACAGATTTTTTAAAAATATAGTTAAACAGTTGTGTGTGAATACAAAGTTAAAATACAAGAAATGCATTTAATATTACATTAATGCCTGCCCTTTCCCCACTCCCAAAGGAGAGGGAATATGGGCTGAGATAAATTCACATAATAATAATAATAATAATAATAATTTATTTATGGGTTGCTGTGAGTTTTCCGGACTGTCTGGCCATGTTCCAGAAGCATTCTCTCCTGACGTTTCATTTACATCTATGGCAGACATCCTCTGAGGTTGTGAGTTCTGTTGGAAACTAGGAAAATTGGATTTATATATCTGTGGGAGGTCCAGGGTGGGAGAAAGAACTCTTGTCTGTTGGAGCTAGGTGTGAATGTTGCAATTGATCACCTTGGTTAGCACTGAGTAGCCTTGCAGCTTCAAAGCTTGGCTGCTTGCTGCCTGGGGGGAATCCTTTGTTGGGAAGTGATTACCTAGCCCTAATTGTTTCTTGTCTGGAATTCCCCTGTTTTTGAGTGTTGTTCTTTATTTACTGTTCAGATTTTAGAGTTTTTTAAAAAATACTGGTAGCCAGATATTGTTCATTTGCACTTTATTTGTATTCCACCCTATTGCCCCGATGGAGACTTATATCATAGTGTTGTTGGTATCCAGTTCTCATTAATCCTTGCCAGCCATACCAGTGCTGAAGGATGGTGGCATTTATAGTTCAGCAGTATCTGAAGCATGATAAATTCCTCACCTCTGCTTTATATTATTTATTTATTAATTTTATTATTGCACTTATATACCACTTTTCTCACTCCTAGGGGGACTCAAAACGGTTCCCAACATAATCAATGGCAAAATTAATTGCCTTACATGTACATAACAACATATATCAAAACAACAACAATGACAACAGATTAACACCATTAAAATCTTAAAACGAAAACAACAGTCACTCTCAATACATAAAACATTTTAGCCTTGCACAATCCCAAGGGTATCTTTAACTACTTCCATATTTGCATGTTTCTGTCACTCACCGAATGCCTTTTTAAATAACTTAAGTCTTAAGTTATTTCCTAAAAGCTAGGAGAGAGGGTTTAGAATGTCTA